ATATATATATGAGATTTGATTTATGATTCATGTTATTTTTGATGATAATGGATCTTTATTTGTAAATATACATTAAAAAGAAATCATACATATCTCATTTTTTATGAACTAAATGTAGGTGAGTTAAAACAAGTCGTCAATAATTGGGATATTACTATTCATGTTTCTTCTTTACAAATTTCATATGGCCTTAGAGCCTAACTATTTCGAATTTACATCGCATAGTGATTCATTTTAAGAAAACACTTTGTATTAAGAATTTTTTTATACTTAAAGCTTGATCAATTAAAAAACAATATCCTCATCCACTGTAGCCGCTACACTGTATTCTTCGGTGATAATAGCAATATAGTTTAATTTGTTGACTTTTCCTATAATATCACCAATCATATAAATTATTAACAATAATCTTTAAACATATTGACTTTTCCTATTTTCTTTGTATTTTCTCTTATTATATGAGAGATAGTTAGTGCTGAGAATTTATTTCTTTTGTTCTACTTTAATTTAATTTGTGTATATTTTTCTCTAATAAGAGACAGTTAGTGCTGAAGCAGACACGTCTTCGTCGACGTGCCTGCTTCAGCGTCCTTCTGGAAAAAAAATTAAAAAAATGTTTCTTTTGTTCTACTTTAATTTAATACGGTTTAAAAATTTATTTCTTTTGTTTTGCTTTAATTTAATATGTGTATATTTTTTCCCAAAAAAAATAATTTATTTCTTTTGTTCTACTTTCCAAAAAAAAATTAAAAATTTATTTCTTTTTTTCTACTTTAATTTAGTTAGTGTATACTTTTTTCGAAATTATGAAATCCGTTTTAGCTATGACTTTTAGTTTTAAATTCAAGAATTCACGCTGAAGCAGACACTTATAATATTTAAAAAAAATTAGTATTTCTTTTGTTCTACTTTAATTTAATTAGTGTATAATTTTTTCGAACTTATGAAATCCGTTTTAGCTATGACTTTTAGTTTTAAATTCATATTCTATAGTTATTGCTTTATTATTTTGAATATTGGTAATATTTGTTTATATCTTGTAACTACTTTAAGTAAAAAATTAACGGTCAATGACGAAAAATACTTTAATTATAAACATCTTAATGGACCTCTTCACAAAAAAATTGTGCAAACAAAAAGTAATTAACCACTTATATATCTAAAAGACAAATTAAATTTATTCAACTTTCTAAATTCTACATATATACATAAATTAAAATAAAAAGATACGATAATATTGGGCCCGTGCTAGCACGGGCACCTATATCTAGTTGTTAAATAAATAGGAGACTAAACGAATATGATTACTTCTTGATGTTTTAAGCGTGCACGCAAACGCTGGTAAGTTCTAGTGGAATAATATGGAAATATAATTGTAATCATTTTAAATTTATCAAATAATTCATATTATATTAAATTCAAGATATATTATCTCAAATAAATATTGCAGATTTATCTAAGAATAACTTACAAAAATGACTATAGTTTTAAGGTTATTAAATTAAAATAGCTATAAGTATATATTTAATGACTATAGTTTATGTCATAATCTAGGTGTATCTAAAGTATCGGTAGATTTTTTAAAAATATATTGATACATTTTTAATTGTAATGCACTAAATAAGGTAATTTTCGTTATTGTAACTGATTGTCCTTTAATTAGCTCTCAAACTCTCAACTTCTAATTATTAAATTAACAATACATAATTATCTATTAAAGAGTTTTGTTTGCTTACTGAGTGCTTTTATTTTTTTTGTTAATTTAATAAATAAATATTCAGGTATAAAAGTCATTGCGAATAAAAGGGATAATGGTTTGAAAAATACCTCAACTTTGGTCGAATTTGTTGTTGCGATACTAAACTTTCATGAGGACCTATTACCTCCCAAGACCATTTAATACCGTATTTTAAACATGTATATTTCCCCACGTGGACATAAAAAATAATGCAATTTAAAAATAGTAATGTGTCCACGTGGGCACATATATACCTTTAAATACACTATTAAATAGTTCATGGGGTAAAAAATACGGTATTAAATAGTCTAGAAAGGTAATACGTCCTTATGAAAGTTTAGTATCGCAACATCAAATCCGACCAATGTTAAGGTATTTTTCAGACCTTTATCCCTGAATAAAACATGTAAGCATTTGTATGAACTAATGTCCAATTAAGAAATCTTATCTATTATAAACAAACAAACTTATGTTTTTGATATTCGATGATAATGGCTAAACTAAAACATAAATACTAAGTCAGAAATATAAATACTAAAATAAATAAATACAGTTAACTAACATACAAATGAATACATGGTTTAATATATATACATACAAAAATAATGAATATTAATTAAATATATAAAAAAAAATACATGAATATTAACCAATGAGCAATACAAATGAATATATTGATTTAGTATATATACATACAAAAATACGTAGATATTAACTTAATATATACAAAAAAAAAAAAACATGAATACTATCAATGGCAAGTGACTCAGTGAGAAAATATAAATACTAGTGGTACCGTGTAGTAGCATATTTGCTATTTAATATTTAAATAAATCCATAATAAATAAATAAAATATGCTATAGCTATGCCTTAAATATGCAGCAAAGTTTGTCATATCATGTAGTTTTTCCTTTAATAGAATTGAGTTAATGATTTAAGTCCTATAAATATGAATTTGATTAAAGTTCAAATTCATTAATAGGAAAATTGTGCGGTTAAGCAAACTTATACTACTTAATTATTCATCATAGCTATAGTTTGTTATAATTACCACTCGCGACTAACATTATACATTAATTACGTGGGCTGATTTCGAGTTTGTATAATTAGCCATGTTTTGTATATGTATAATTCACCAAAATATACAAATACATATGTATAATATACAATTATGTAACCGATATACATATACAATTCACCTCTCTCTCTCGCCTCTCGCCTCTCGCCTCTCTCCTCCCTCTCTTAATCTCGCTTGCCATATATACAAATGCATATGTATACTATATACAATTATCTAACCGATATACATATATAATTCACCTCTTTCTCACTCTCTTCCTTCTCTCGCTCGCCTCTTTCCTCCCTCTCCCAATCTCACTCGCCATTTATACAAATACATATGTATAATATACAATTATCTAACCGATATACATATACAATTCACCTTTCTCCCACTCTTTGCCCCCTCTCTCTCGCCTCTCTCCTCTCTCTCCCAGTCTCGCTCGCCTCTCTCCTCTCTATAACATGTAGCTACGAATTGTAATTATCAAACTATAGCTATGGAGAGTAATTAAACTATTTTTGAGTGGCTATATGTGAAAGTTCCTCTTCATTAATATGGGCTACAATAGATGAACCCACTTTGCTAACCCCAATGTCATTCTATCCCAGAGGTCCAGTTTAGGGCTACGTATATGTAGACAATAAAATTCGCGTCGAGAAAACAATAATCAAGAACGGAAAAATATCGCAACAATTGTATTTATTATTTTAAAGTGCTAGTGTTAGAATCTCTATGATTCCTCTGAATTCGTCTTTTCAAATATAAATTCAAGTACTCTTGAGCTTAATCTTGAATTTGTCTTGAACTTGATCTTGGATTCAAAGTCTTTAAAGCTTATTCTTGAATCTTCGATGAACTTGAACTTGAACTTTATCTTGATCTTAACTTTTTACTTGAATTCAAGGGCTTCGAGCTTGTTCTTGAATCTGATGGTCTTGATCGTTCTTGAACTTGAATACTTGTAGCTTATAGAGAATTTTATGGCGTTTGTACCACGGGTTTTCTCTAGCTTCTTGTTTAGAATTTT